GACATTGGGAAACCAAACNNNNAAGAACAGTCCTACATTGAATTGTGCTCATTTTTTTTAGAATCTCCTTTAGAGTATGTGTTAGACTTAGTACTCAAGTTCATTGATTAATTTGGTAATTTCTTCTTTCAGCGTTTCTTCTGGTCATATTTTTACAATGCAGCACAGTATGAAGAAAATATCATTTGCTATACTAGCACTTACCTGCCTAATTGGTGGTGTACTTTCAAAATCTAAAGATTACTATAAAATACTTGGAGTTGAAAAGAACGCATCTCAACAAGATATCAAGAAAGCGTTTAGAAAACTAGCCATCAAATATCATCCAGATAAAAATAAAGATCCCGATGCAGAAAAAAAGTTTGTTGAAATAGCAAAAGGTAAATTACAGTTTCAACTTTGATTCAGCGGAGGCTCCTGAAATAGGGGTCAAAAACAAATTGACTAGAGAATCAGGGAGCATCCTAGAATAAAATTGCGGTTAGTTCATAGGAATTAGAGATGTTATGGTGGCCCAAAGTTGTGCTTTAAGACCAAAAATTATCTGTACTACAAGTTGACAATTACTTTGTTTTACCATCAGCAAATTTTTAGTCCAGTGACATCCACAGAGGTCCAAACTTGTCCTATGTGCTAAAGGTGGAGACTAAACTATTTCCCCTTGACCCTTTGCTTGTGGCCACCACTGCTTTTTAAATTTTATAATATGAAATTCAAATTGGCTGTTAAATTATGCTTTGCCTTTCCCCATATATGGTCATGATGACATCACACTGATATATGCAAATCACATTAGGCATTTGTTTGGAACTTGACTTACTGGGGCTCAGAATCTTTGTCATGGTGACTTGGTTGCTTTTGGGCCCCCAAAGGCAAATGTCTGAATAAATAAAACAATATTAAATACTGTAGTGTGGACAGATCTGTCAGACTAACTCCTCTTTCCTCTTATAAATTAATAGCACTTGAAATATTTATTTCGTTCTGAATCACATGTAACATTTTCTGGGACAAAAGTACAATTTTTTAAGAGCGAAGCTAATGTCTACTCCTTATCACAGCACTATTTTCTGTTGTTTCAGTTCAATTTTTCTAAAGGGAAGCAGTGATATTGTGGAATTAATGTTTTGCCCCACCTGACAAGTTTTAGTACCGAATACTCAGTACTTTCCCAAATACTTGCGAAAAAAATTGCAAGTGAATTGGGAGGGAATCGAACCCACAACCTCCAGTTAACCAGTCTGGCGCAATAACCACTAGACTACCAAGCTTGCGTTTAGTGACTAGCTATTTCGATGTGTGTTTGTATCTGGGAAATATCATAGAGTGATGTTTTGCCGATACGAAAAGACATAGGGCAAAACATCACTCCTTAATATTTTCCTGACGCAGACTCGCGTCAAAATATTATTGTGTGAATGTATTTTAACAAAGTTTCAATATAATTATTACAACTTTTCTGTTTGGTAATTAAAAGTGGAAGGAATATAAATTTAACTTCATTCATATAAATTTAATTCCCAAGATGTCTATAGTAAGAATTCAGACAAGATATGAAAAACGTCTTTTGAATTTCCATTCCGACCTTTGGGATGATAACTGTTACAACGAAAACGTCCATAGCCACAAAGCTGCCCTTTAATAAAAAAAAAATTATTTCTCCTCTTTAGCATATGAAGTTCTATATGATCCTGACAAGCGGAGACAGTATGATCAGCTTGGAGCCAACAAGTTTGAGAGTTTCAACAGGGGAGGGGGCTACAGTAAACCTGGGGCTCAAGAATCAATGTTCAACTACGACGACTTCTTCAAAAACTTCGACGAAACCATCAGATTTGGTCGAAGAAGAAGAGATAAACAGAAAAAGACTGGCGGTCGTAAATTTGGTTCCATTTTTGACAGCCTTTGGGATGACTTTGATTCGGACGGTAGCATGCAAGACATGCTGAATAATATGTTTAAAGATATGGGCAGTGGGCCGTCATTTGATGGGTTTGGTAGTTTCGCCTCTTCTTCCAAAAAAAAGGTAGGTATCTTAAAAGTAAAATTACAGAATTACTTTCATTTTGTTTTTTCTTGTATCTTTTTCCTGTACACCATTTTATCGTGTCTATTTTTAAACAGCGTCATCAATGTCTCACAACTTTTTAATGGGGGACATCCAGCAGCCAACCTGAACAAATTTTGTTTTTCAACATCTAAAAGCATTGTGCATGGCTAGGCCTCTGTATGTCACCCAGTGTTAGTTGCTAGGTTCTTGGAAATTTTCATTTCAAATTTAGCCAAAATCATAGTGTATACACTGAAGCCTATTCTTCTTTAAAGGCAATACTGAAAAATACTATTTCTGAATGCTTACTGTTTTTGAGCTGCCTTGTCAAGTATTTTTCTCAAAGGAAAATTTTATAATCATGTTTAATCATACAGCAGTAGACTTGTGGTGAAAGGAATAATTTGATTAAAATGCATTTGATGATTCATAAGTTTATAAATTTTGAAGGGACTTATAATATCACATTATTACTGGTACTGTATCTCATCAAAATACAGTAATACAATTTTAGGATTAAAGAGATTGTATGTGTTGATACTTTCACCTATCATCGGTCAACTTATTTTACTAAAGTTGCACTTTTCAGAAGTACTGTATGTAGCATTTACTTGATTGGTTGGTTTTTAAAGCACCATATACAAGTGCTATAAACTTCCTTAATGTTATTATTGTTAATATTATAATTATTATTGTTAATTACTATTATTATTGTTATTGCAAGTTGCTTTTAGCACATCACAAAAAGACGAGTAGTGTCTACGAAAAAAATATAAAACATCTAAAAACTATAATAACATTTTTTTTTTTTTTTTTTACTTTTAGGGTAAAGGAATGCATGGTCAAGCTCACATGTTTGGTAAGATTTTTACTTCAAATGCCTTCATTCATTAAATTGTAAAAATACATTTAATTGTTTCACAGGTTACTTACATGCATGTGAATTTGCAGTATATGGTACACATACCCTTTTGGTGCAAACGAATTACAAAGTGTTTATTTTTCCGGCTAAAAGTGCACCCTCACTAGTCATCACTAAAGCCGGGGACTCACTGTGGTCGACGGTCATTAGCCGGTGCGATTCTATGGATAAGGCAATGCCATGACACGTGTACAACGGATCGGTTTTTTTTTATGACGATCCATTCAGACTACTACCGACAGTTAGCAGACAGCTTTGTGGCTTCTAGCTCTCACAGGGGGTGGAGTTGGATTCGTCGTACGGACACAGTGGGTGCCCGGCTTAAATTGTTTCGCAAACGAATATGTATGCTAATGACTAAATAAACACTACCATCAGATAAATTATTCCCTTTCATATTGCAATGCATTTAAATGCAAATAATATTCCATATAGCAATGTTTCATGCTGCATTTTTGGCCGTTAACAGAACTGCTTTCATATTGCAATGCATTTAAATGCAAATAATATTCCATATAGCAATGTTTCATGCTGCATTTTTGGCCGTTAACAGAACTGGTCCATGGCACCCGGCTTTTGGAAAAACCCGGGTTATAAATCCTGCTGGTTTGTTGAATAGCGAATATGTATGCTAATGACTAAATAAACACTACCATCAGATAAATTATTCCCTTTCATTTTGCAATGCATTTAAATGCAAATAATATTCCATATAGCAATGTTTGGTCAATTTATATAACACTATTTTTTGTTTGTAACTGCACAATTAATAAAAAAATATAAATATCAAACACTAAAGAGTTCAGTTACCAAGTAAATAGAAACTTTTTTGCATGATGCTTTATAAAATCGAAATATTATATATATTTATTATTTATTAATCATTACAATTACGATAGAAAATTCAGTTGAATTCGAGTAACATTTATTCAATTAATCAATGGTAAGAAAGTATAATACATACTCCAAGTATTGAAATGCGTGCCATCATGTTGAGATTCAATATTTCAACATTAATTATGTCATCATCAGGAATGATGATTATTTAAAATTTAAATTTAAAAAAAAATTAATTCTTAATAAAATGTTAAATTGAACTTAAAAATGAAAGCAATCTAAATATTTAATTTAAAATTGAACATGTAGAAACTCTGTCCAGCTTATGAAATTTTGATTTTTTTTTTTTTATAAAAAACTGTTGTATGCCCATATATAGATAGCCATGATGGGCCTATATATGGTCACAATGTGACAACCATTTTTAGGCATGTTATATTTTTTTTTTATCAAATAATATTTGATAGTTCAGACTGAGCTTTATGTACCATTTTGATTTATTAATATCGTAATACTAATATATGCACTTGCACTTCCCCTATTGTCATCAACCCACATTCCCACCATTGTTTCCCTTTAAACCCTCGTTGAAATTTACAGCTAAACATCTTCATGTTCATGACTCACATGAAGCCAAATCCAAAATATTAGTCATGGTGTCAAAGGTGATGTTGAAGAAAAAATCTGCTGGTAAAAAAGGAGGAGCTACAAAAGAAAAAACTGTGAAGGAAGAACCAAAACCACCGCCTGAAGAGAAGCCGGTAGAAACTCCCAGGCCACCACCTCCTAAGCCGCCACCCCCACCTAAGCAGCCCGATCCACCACCAAAGCAGCCAGATCCACCACCAAAGCAGCCAGATCCACCACCAAAGCAGCCTGATCCACCACAGCAGACAGTGCCCCCTAATCCTGAACCTCCCCAAGATCCAGTCACCAAAGCAAAAGAAAGCCTTCTGTCTAAGAAAAAGGTTCTGTCTAAAGATGAATTCAAGGCTGAGTTTGAAAGAATTCGATCAGAATTTAAAGCTACGCTAGCTAAAATGAAGGGGCAATCACCCACTACCACTACAACAACAGTTGAAAATGACGGTGTTAAGCGCACAACAATATCGACCACAAATGATTTGCCTAAAACTACTTCCAGTGGTACACAAAAGTCAAGTAACATACCCAAAAAAGGTACAACTAATGCAGGGGAAAATATAAAACAACCAGAAAATAATAGCAAGAAACAAGAGCCTATAAATAAGAGGACAAGTAAGGAAAAAGTTATGAAAAATAATGAACCTCCAAAAAATGCTTCACAAAACATAAAGGTACAAACATTGACAAACAAGCAAAGACATGAAGCTCTGCACAGTTCTACTATTAACAGTATTCTTGAGAAACATAAGAACAGACGAAAAGGTGCAGCAGCAAATTCAACTGTAAAGGATAAAATGGAAACTAAAAATTTACATGGACATACTCAAGGGAAGAAGGGTGCTACTATATCTGTAAGGTCTCTTCACAACAGACTAAAACCTAAACCTCGTCCACCGTCAAGTTATAAACCTCCTCAGACAAGTTCAAATCGTAAAAGTCGGTCTACGACAGATCGTGAATCTAAACCAGCAAGTCCACAAAAATTCACTAAGGATTCAAATGCAAATGAGAGAAATAGAGACAGTACAAATCCACCCATGAATCAGAAACTAGGAGGTGTTGACAATCAACTAGATACTATGAAAATGCAGAAACCAAAATTAAGAAACCAAAGAACACATGTAGAAAAAAGGCAAACGCCAGATCTTAAAGATGAAAGAAATAAAAATCACAGTGAAGGTGATTCACGTGGGCGCTACCATGAGGAAAGAGACACTTGTGTCGAAGCAACAACTTATACCAACGCCAATGGACAAATCATATTTTGTAATTCGCCTGTTCTTAACAACAGGTATCGTAGGATGTCAGACAATGTAGATCCAGAAAATATGCAAAGTTTTGGTAAACGTTGGTCTGATAATACTTGTGGGGATGGACTTCTCTCTACTGCAGACTCTTCAACTGAGAATTTAGGTCATTATAAAAGCCAAACAGATGGGAAATTAAAAGTATCTGCAAGATCCAATGGCCCGGGTCGGAATACAAATGATGGCTTTAATCAAAAGATGGCAGGAAATACAGCCAAACAAAATTTTAATAGAAAAAATCCGAAAGTTTTCAATATTCCGAAATCAGATGAAGGAAATAAACCCGAATATAATATTAAGCTTGAAAAACTTACGCAAAATGAAAAATCAAGGACTGGTTTTGGAAGGAATTCATTGAAACAGGAAGCAAGCAGAGAAGAACTTCTAAATTCTGCGTCGAGAAAAACTCCTCAAGTCTAGATACCAATCCCAACATTTCATTATAGTTTTGTTTTTTCCTGATATATTTTTTTGAATCTAGCTTTAGCAACCGACAAGATGTAGTGGATTTTTATATAGTCATTGCACAGTTGAAGACTGAAATTCCAGATCTCTAGACAGAAATCAAATGGTTGAAACACTGGTCTGGAAACAAAAAACCCCAATAAATTCCTGGTCTGACTTTAGATAGTTTTCAGAACATTATGCAGCTAAAAACTAGAAAATTACAAAAACAGATATAACATTTCTTTGGGCAACATTTTAAAAGAAAACACATCTTCAATATGCAAGGTAATCATTATGTTTACTCAAACAGCTCTCCCTCCAATTCAAGTCACCTCCATTTCAAAAGCACTAAGATCTAAACAGTTGTGACTGGCTCTGGCGAAACCCGCCATTTATCGCAATTACTAATTTCCTACAAGCACCCAAAATGTTCAAGAATTAAAATTTTTAACATTTTCAGGTTTTTTTTTTCATTATATAAGAAAGATATTTTGAAGAAAATTTCTGCAAAATATCAGTCACTAAATTTAACTGAAAAGTATATTAAAATTATTTTTAAAATACAAATAATACAAATCTGATAATAAAACTATTGATTTTGGAATCTTTGGAAGCTGTTTTCTCAAAACGTACACGGCTGGTATTAAATTAATTAACTTCGCTATCTTCAACCAATTTCCATCAAATAAACACTGTGTTAAAGAAGTACTGTATTCATGTACAGTAGAATCTAAAAACACCAAAAAATCAATTGTGAATTTTCCCTACAAACGGCTAGTTTTGCCAGAACTGGTCACAGTTTTCAGTCTATAACACCATAATGATGGTTTCTAATTGGAGGATGACCTGTATTTAGCATTTTGTAGCATTTTAGACTGGGGCCTTGCCTGGTTTTTGTTTCATCTACACTCTTTTCAACTGAATAATTGTTTTGCATATACCCTTAATGACTCATCTTGTTTTCTATACCATTCTTTTTCCTTCCTTTTAAGTAGGATTGTTTTATATAATTTTATTGTAAATTTAACTTGTATTCATTAATAAAGTTAAATAAGAATGCATTTTAAATTTAACTGGTGGTATGGTCTGGCTATCTGCATTGTGTAACTTGCTATGCATTATTTAAATGTTTGTTCATTTTGCTTGCTTATTGCTGAATTTTTGCTGGTACAGTAGACTTGAATAATTTCCTTTCATATAATATATTAATTGAAGTGCATGTTTTATTTATGAGTAATATACTGTCTGTTGAACCAATTATTATAATATGGTGATACAATTCAATAAATTCAGTGGCCAAACATGTTTTTGCCAAAGGATTCATTAATACTGTAAAGTGTATTGCTATTGTTGTATTAATATAAAGGGAAAGTATTTTTTCAACAAAATATGCATAATACCAAATAGTGGCAAAAGATAAGCCAAACCAGTCACTCGTCATAAATTGTGTTTCATAGATAATGGCCAAAACATGCTAGAATGTCAACATTTCTGAAACCTAGTTTATTGCACTAAACTAACCTATACATCATTGCTATTGTTATTTTGCACATTTTCGATGTTAAAACAACAATTTTTAACAATTTGGTGATGGTTAGAAATGCCCGAAATCATAAACATTGAAGGCACTTTTCTCAAATACTGTACAGGTTGTATGTTTAAACTCCAGTAACTTCATAAGGCAATGTCGGATTTACATGATTCTTCTACCATTGTATAGCTCTCATTTTACTGCTTAACCCTGTAATAACTAGAAATCAAAGTTTTGTGAGGAGTGACTACTGGTTTGGCTTGTCTTTGCCACAAATACTTTTTGCTGTAAATTACCTGGTAATCAAGTAAAAAATTAAAGGAAAAAAATGATAAATTGAAAAAAATTTCATTAATTTTAATTAATTAAATTGTCTCTTTTTTTTTCTTTTGGTACAATTTCTTTTTTTTTTTTTCCTCACTTAAAATTGCAAATTTTTGCTGGTTTCCTTGGGAACCATGTTAGCCTTAGCGCCAGAACCGACATGATACAAATTTGTCTCTCTTTGGAAATTAATGATGTCATCATTGATATTTTAAATGAGAAAGTGCTTTTTAAAAGTGAATAGTAAATTTACCTGATTTCACAGACAATATATTTTTTATCATAATTAAATTTCATCAATTTATGTTAAGTTGTATTTTCCACTTTGCAATGATGCCTAGTAGTAAGTAAAGAAAATTGTTTATTTGGGGAAAACAGGACAATTGTAGTGCCTGCCTCCACCTTCCTCACCATTTTCTCAGAGGTATACGATGGACAAACTGCATAGAGTATGATACTGTATTACAATTTCTAATATGAAATATAAAACAAAGTAAAAGAAATAATATTTTTCACTTTACAACCTTTATTGTCATCCTTCCTACTTGTTTAAACTTTTACTATAATTTTGCTTTCTAATTCTCTCCTTCATTATTGAAATTTCCAATATACCTTACTAGCATTAAATCTTTATCATATTGATTAATAATTTAGGTAACATTTTTTTTTTTCTAAGTCAAAAATGGGTGTTGTAACATACTATGAACATTTTTGGCTATAGGAAAGAGAAAACTGCACATGGCAAGACTTTTTTTTATACCTTCTTTCGCGAAATTATTTTTTATCGTCAGAGGAGGGCAGAAAAAAAATAAAAACAAAATTTTGTTTTCTTTTTAACAGCAAATAGTTTTGCCAAAAACATTCAGAGGAAAAAAAGTATATAATATTTTATACATGAATTTGAACAATGTAGTAAGGGAATGGTTAAAATGCTTTAAATTTAGAAAAAAAAATATACATACCGTATTATGTTTTTGGAGATTTCAAGGCAGCAGCGTGCATAATAAAAATTAAGATTAATTTTATTTCTGAAATTTTCATTTTTTCTTGACAGCATGTGGGCTAATTGGCCAAAAATGAAATTTTATTTTTAATCGAAATCATTATTTTTGGGCAGCAATGTATAAAAAAAAAGTCTTGCCTAAAAAAATTGGAAGCCAAGTTATTCTATTAGAATTCAACTAATATTATTTGAAATTATAATTTATTTTTGTTTTCTACTTTCTGTGTCTTATTGCAGGTGATTTTTCAAACGATTTCCCAGGCTCAAGTGGTATAAACTGTCGGACGGTAACCGAAAGGAATGGAAACCAAGTTGTGACGTACACAACATGCACATGATACTAGTCATGTGATAGGTTAAGACATGTGAAAATTTATGGTATATTTTATTCTTAAGTGCCTTTATTCAATCAAAAATCAGGATGTCCTTCCTAAACTCAGTATTATAAAACAGTTTGCTAGTGGTCACTAGTATCAACACTTTTTAAGAAAATCTACATACGATGATCAGTGAACTTGGTAGGCCTACCAATTTACATGCTGTAACTGTCAATGGACTAATTATCACTTAGTCACAGTGGTGGGTCCAGAAATTTGCCAACATTGTTCAACAAGCTAGTAACAAATTGATGTGAAAAGTACAGTTAAACTTGCCTGAAGAAGTCGATTTTGCTTGACTTGAATAACTTCCAAGTTAAACTTATTTTACATGCCAAATTGTTGTGGTCTCCAATAATTAACAATCAGTAAGCCAAATTTTATTTAAGACAAACAATTTTTCTATGGCGTTCTGGATATACAGGTTCCACTGTACCTCCATCAGAGTCCTGGAGTATTGGGATTTAAAAATTGGCTATTAATCACATTACAATTGAATCAGCAATTTAATATTTTCATGTGGCCACAGGGATTTCATGCCTCTCTGACGGCCCTCTTCTGATGCCACCAGCAGTGGCATATATTTGAAGGGGGGTCCTACCCCCTTTAATATTTTTGGAAATTAAAAAAAATCAGATAAAAAAAAATAAGAAAACTGTATTAAAATAGTGTGCAATTTCAGACCATGTAGAGGTGTCATAAAAGTTTGAACCTTAGCCCCAACTATATAAGGCTGAGGTGATGGAGACCATTGATCTGTGACAATTCCTTTATGGGGTGCGCCCCCCCCCCTATTTTTAATTCCTGGATCCACCACTGAACATGCTTTGTAATCAACGCATATCTCATCAACATTTAAGAAAGAAATAGCCCAATGCACCAGTTAATTTTGGGTATAGAATTTTTACCAAATGTATGTGTACAACTGTACACATTTGTTGTTAGTCACATTGTGTACAATTGTACCTTTAAAAGGCAGTAATTATGTCATCACTCTTCACAATGTGTACACATAGCCTAATTTGCATAATTAGAGACTCGCAGACAGGAGGGTCTGTTCTTTTCCCTACCATGTTTGTCTAAAATAACTTCCATAAAAATTACAAAGAAATTTGGTTGGTATAAATTTATAAAAATATAAAGTAATTTATTTATTAACTGTAAGATTTATTATATTAAATTTATGTTTGTTTATATACCGTATCTATTCAAATAAACATCCCTGGAATGGGGGTTTGAGATAATTCAATGGAGGTCTTATTCTTTTGGGTTCAAAATGGATGCCAAATGGATGCTTGTCATTTCATTACACAACACAAAATATTTGTTGGAAAGTGTTTTTTTTTTTTTTTTTATGATCTGAGCCTGGCAATACTGTCAATGCTCGAAATATGCGCCGTGGCACTAAAATTTTTGTAGGCTCCAGTCCGGAGCTTATAAAAAAATACTGGCATGGCACTTTCGCTGCCCATTCTAATGTTACCTATTTCACGTATTCCCGAAGTTCAGTGGGCCTATCATAGGTTCTATCATCGTATAAATATTTATAAGGAAATGCTTGTCTTTCATTGTCTTATTTATTCATAAAACACTTCATTGTATTTAAAACCCTGTTTCATTACACTTAGGGTAATATTATATACTTTCAATTAAGTGCTGCTGTGCTTATTCGAGAGCAGCACTCAAAAAAAAAAAATCATGTTTGGTGTGGCGCTTTTTTTATTTTGCAGCTCTTGGCGATGCCCATCGACACTGAGGTCCCTGAGACAAATAAGGGGAAATCGGTAAAAACTTGCAGATTTAATTAATTTGAGGGAGATTCTTCCTAGGTTGCGGGAGGCCGTCCTGATTTCTGAGAGGTTTCCGAGACCTGGAACTCCTGCATTGGTAAATAAAATGGTGTTTCTTCCACGACTTGTTTTGGTGAAGTTATTCAAGAATTTTATTCAAGGAGAATTTAATCCAAATACCGGTAACTTTTTGGAGGTGAAGTTTATTTAAAGGGCGTTATTTTAAGCACGATATTTATTCAAATAAATACGGTACTGTCATTGTATAATTATAAAGCAAAACTGAATTATTTTGATTATTTTATGTGAACAATTGTAGACTGTGTTGAAATATATTCGTTCAATAAGAAAATCTTTTTAGTCTTGTTTGTGTTGTCAATGGAAACTTTACTCACTTTAGATTTAGTCCATCTAAAATGACATATTCTAGTTACTTTAAAAATGGATTTGGTCAAAAAACCATTGTCCAAAGTGGCGACTAGATTCAGACAGTTTACTAAATCTTTAAATTTGCTGCCAGAAATGTGGGGTTGTATGGAATGACTATACAATAATGGCTAGTCAATTGCCTAGCGGTTAAGAAAGGGGGCGCCACAACGTACATCCATAATATAGGCACTGGTTCGAACGGCGCGCTCACCTATGGTTCTGGCGGTGGAACAAGTCTTTTCAGGTAAGGACTATAAACCATAGGCCCAGCGTACACAACTTGGCTCGTGTGCAGGACGAGAACCCAGGACATATTTCGAGATGAATAGGGGGGGGGGGGTTTACATTGGTGTACTGGTCCATACAGCCCCTGTTGTGGACAGATGAGAGTAGATGGCACCAGTTTACTGGGTAGCTCTGACATGAAACCTTTAGTGCAGAAGCAAGTTACTGTATGCGCATTGAGACTTCGTTATAAATCGCTATATAAATCTAACTACATTACATAATTATTTTAATGCTAATTATTTGAAAGCTAATAATTTATTGAAATCAGTTACCACTACTTAGAATTATCTCAAAAACTATACCATAAATCCTCTAGTATAAGCATACACACTTTGAACCCAAACTGTTAGCATGTTTGAGCAACAGGCCAATTTGCAACACTGTATATTCACAATTCAAAGCCATTTTTATATTTCTCTATTCAAACTGTACCCTGGGCTTTTTGCCAGGATATAATGCTGGTACCTTAAATAGGGTATTGGCTATGCAAGAGGACCTACAGTAATCAATCATAAAAAATAAACGATAACTTTATTTGCAGCAAACAGATCAAACAATTTCAAACATGACAATTCATTTATTACAATAACCATTCACACACAAACAGAAATCAACATACTGTACTAAATCTCTAATTTTATGTGTTTAAATAAGTTGCCATATTGGCAACAATAAAATAGTAATTAATGAATGCACTATTGGTTCAGGTGTATTGTTACCAGTACAGTAATTGAAACATAATTTATTCACTTTTAAAGTATAAAAACCTTTACTAAAATTTAAAGCCTAAATTTTTTAAGGTATAAATGATGTGATAAAAGAATACTGTATTTCCAATTACTATTACCTAACAGTGGTTTTTGTTGAATTTACTATTCAATAGTAAACAAAAAAAATTAACACTACAAACAGATAGGTTTGTTATTTCATTTTTTAACATATTCAAACCATCTATTTTAGCTATACATACTGTACAATACTATTTACATCATTTCATAATTCTATAACTTTTAGTAAATCAGAATCGATTATAGATTTCACTACAGTTTTATAATGCTGTGATTTTGTTGAAGTGGATCACCACTTATTAGCATCCGTGAAAGGTACACCACAGATAATAGGGCAAAAATATTTAATCTCGAAATCCCAACAGAGGAATCTACCCATTTATAACATATCCAAGACATCAACTCATTGGATTCGAGTCAAGTAGTCTTCAATCACGTTTGAATAAAGCCTGGTTTCCATAAAAGCGCTACAATGTCAGTGCTTTCAGTGCAACCGCTGTACAGCGTAGCAAATCACTAACACATTCAGGAAGGCTCCCTATTCGACCGACCAATCAGCATCACCGAAAGCTTTGGCGATATCGTGTAGCAATTGTATGGAAACCATGCTCAACGATAAACTAACTAATGCTTTGTTCAACATGGTTTTATACATTAAAAAAAAAAAATATCAATCTAAACTACATTCAATGTCCTGAGTTAAAATAATGTGTACCAAAGTGTTATGCAAGGATTTGAGGGAATTGATTTTGAATTTGAGCCTTTGATTTGCCTTAATATCTGATATACTGTATTGATGTTGCAAGGCTATACAGTATTATATTTTTTAATTCTTACAAATTATTTTTTCTTGCAATAATTTTCAGAGTGTTTTGTTGTATTTTACCTTTTCAAACAAAAAAATCATTACATCAACGGCTCCATTCCAAATTTTTGCAGTAACATTAGAAATCAATACACAGTGAATCATTAGTCAAAGCAGCAACATATCGTCGCTCACATCACAAACTCATTAGTTGTCAAGCAATTTTGTATTCTTTACCACACGGAAAGTCTGTAACGACAACAGTGCGTATTTTAACAAGCTTTGTTTTTGTAGTTTGACTATGTTGCAGAAAGTGATTACACTCAATGAAGAAAAATTGATTGTTTTAATAATCCGAAAAAAAAAAGAGATACACAGGTCTAACCAGCCTACTGTTGTTCTATGGATGCTTCCTGTAACGTGACTACCTCTACAGCCTGTGATGCCACCGGGACGTTGGCGTGGTTCTGCGTTTGCTGGACAGCTTCGGCCTGCACAGTCACACTATTACTATCGGTGGTTGCTATGGTTTGTATTGTCTGCGCATGTTGAACTTGCATCTGGTCACTACTGATACTCGACACCGGGTATATTGAGGCAGGGATAACGATACCTAAATAACCATTAAAAACATGTTAAAACATAGCTAAACATCAATTGAAAGAAAATATACAAACAGAAAGGGTTCTGGTATAAAGAATTAAAAATTAATTATACTTTTCCTACGTCAAAGTTGTAGCTGTAGAAAACTAAGGGTGGGTATAAATATTTAAGGGTGGGTGGGTAAGAGACATTTTGAAGGGTGATAACATTGGTAAACTCAAAATAATAAGAGTGGATTTTAAGGATGGAAAAGTGGGTTAGTAAGGGTCGGTTGAGGGCAACAGAATTAGCTTTAAACTGGGTGAAAACTTCAAGGCTGAGTGGCCCCGCTAACCTCCGCCCCCCCATAACTACATCCCTGCTATATCAATGGTGTTGAAGCACTCACTAGCTAAATGCAAGTGCCCTGGACTTTAAGGGGACCCAGATAGTAATCTGCATTTTTTGCCAAGACAAGCACTTTATTAAACCACATATCGGAATTCAGCAATACAGGTCAGCCCTTAAGGTGTCAAAATATGCCCTTTTAAAAATTGCTGGCACCAGGGCTATACTTGGCACCATCCCTTTAGCGTAGTAGCGCCCCGAAGAAAGCCTAGCCAAGTGTTTCTAGCCTCTACATACACAAATGTGTCTCTTTATGCAGTAATAAACCCAACTCACTCTGGTTAGCGTCTGTTGAGAGCATAATCTGACCGTCGGCCAACGTTGCTTCGGTGAGCGTTGCGACCGTGTGTCCACCATCCCCGTTCATGGTCACCGACACTGGAGTTCCGTTCTGCGTGGCGGCAGCGACTTCAGCAAGTGTTTGCACAGCTTGGGTGGCCTCCGCTTGTTGGCTGACGCCAAGCTGTGCATGTTGTAACTGAGACTGTTGGATCAATACCTGTTGAAGGTGTGGTATGTGGTTGAGGTGCTGAACTTGTCCCAGCTGTTGGACATGCTGGATCTGTTGAACTTGCTGTAATAAAATAAATATGAATATATATTGTCAACTTTTCAGGCTCTTTTACATTAAATGCCTCCGTCAATATTTTTTATTGTATATATCAATGTTTATATTATTTTAATACAGCATTCTCATATTTAAAGTAAACATGTGCCTTTTTAATATTTTTTTATCGATTTATTTTTGTTCATTCACTAGTATTATATTTTACTAATTACATTTTACTAGTATGTATATAATTGTAACATTTAGTTAAACAAATCAAGACAGCTTTTAGTGTAGGAGTAAATGCTCAAGGGGCTTATAACATATTTGTAGGCTTCAGTGTGTCGCTTATTCGAGAGCGGCACTTATTTGAGAGTGGCGCTTATAAAAAATATATTGGCGTGGTGCTTTCCATGCCTGTTTCAATGTTACCTATATCACGTATTCCCGCAGTTTGGTCGGCCTTTCATGGGTTCAACTTCATCGTAAATAAACGTTTATAAATCTACTTCCTTGTGCCTTCATTGGTGTATTTATTCATTTTAACACTGTATACATTGTATTTAAAACCCCATTTCTCAAAGTGTTTCATTACACACAGCGTAATATTATATACTCTCATTTAAGCGCCGCAGCACTTAGCGACAATAAAACATGTGTGGTGCGGCGCTTAATCAAGGGTGGAGCTTATCCGAGCATTTATAGAAAGGCAAGACATTTTTATACCTTGTTTATCGAACCCTCCACCAACCGATAACTAGTCAGTGCACCCTTCAGCACACTAAACAAGGTATAAAATGGTCTGCCTAACATACCTTAAAAAAATAATGGAATCACAAATACCATAGTACAAAAACCATCAAATCCTAAATTCCATTGGGCAATATAGACGATTCCATTACTTTTAGGTAAGTTCTGCAAACTTTTTTACTTAACAGTATTCAGTTATTCACAAAAGAGAAAATAACATTTCAATTCAATTCATAACAAATTACAATTTAGTTTTTCTAACTGATAAAACATGGCATTAAACATAGGAATTATTACGCATATTTTATAGTATGAAAACAGAAAAAAACAAAAAAAAACAAAGAAACTATCAATAATATTGACTGTTGAAGGTACAGTTTCAATATTCAAAGAATTTGAGTACGAAAAAAAAAACTCACCGATACATCAGTAAGAGTAGCAACTGTATTTCCCGTGTCAACTTGTATAAGGGACAGTGTACCGTCAGCATTGTTGATTGTCTGTACAACTGTATGGGACGGGATAAGCTGATGGGTGGTTTGATGATGATGCGTTTCCGTTTCCTGGAAATCCGGCAACAGGTCCTCCCGGCCATGATGTTTGTAGCAATTTTTCACAATTGTACGAAGGGCATGAGTCCAAGACACCTGAAATAAATCGTATGTGTTAATTTAAGTTGTATTATATTAATGGACACTTTGGCACCAAAAAAGTGATATATCCCCTTATTTATTACTTAAATTGATTGCTTAAGGCACAACAAACATGTGCCATGGGTTGCCAATAGTGAATAAAACACGGTCTTATTTTTATAGTTACCAACCTGAGAGTTGAAATGTGACTACAACAGTTGGCTGGAGGGATGAGGGCCGCCAGGGACCCCGTCGAGGTCTAGGGTCAGAGCCCAAGAGGCAAAGGCCCTTGGCACTTTTGACGATCTGAGCATTTTTAAGCAGTTTTTTAAACCATTTCGTCGAGTGTTTGTTGACAATACAGGGTAAACATACAAAAATATTTTTTATAAAGCCACGTACAATTTGAGTTTCAATGTTTAATTTTCTAATAAATCAAGTTACTGCATGACCATTTTTATATTTTTGATAAAACTAATGTTAAATGCATTTCCCCTTATTTCATAATTCATTATCACGTATAAACTTGTGCTAAATGTGCGACACATTTATGACCACGCATGTGTTTTTTGAAATGCGGGACCATTCCGTACGATCTGACATGGTTGGTAACTATGTACTTTTATTCATTAGTGAATCCATTTTACAGGACAAACATGAAATTAGCATTAGACTGGGTGCCTCCCCCACCCCCAATAGGTATATCCCTGTCTGCCTTAACTGTTTGGCCATTTAACATAAAAACACAATGCTTTACTGACTTGATCTTAGTCGCATAAGAACCGAAGAACCTGTCTGTATGTCTGTTAGAAATATTCAGCAAAAAGTAATGAATGGTGAACATCATAAAATTTAAAGGAATGGTATATAATAATCAAAGAAAGGTTATTAAAGGAAATGTTAAGGTCAGAGACATTTAATTGTTCACCACAAGCATAAAAGGAAATAATGGAATCACCCCATGTATTCAAACAGCACTCAAGAAAACAAGATAGTATAATACATACTCCAAGTACCGAAATGCATGCCATTGTGTCGGGATTCAATATTTCAACATTAATTATGTCATCATCAAGAAAACAATGCGCCTGATTATGACAGTCGATTCCATTATTTTATTGAGGGTATTCTGGAGCGCAAGAAAATAATGTGCCTGAATACAACGGGCGATCCCATTATTTCATGGGTAGGCTGCAGTTTCATCCAATTATACAAGGCCTCCATATTGTTGGTACTGTATTCAGGCACAGAACGGAGTTATGCCAGCTATGGAGTGACTGCTCTAGTTTTGGTTTGTATTAACATATCATACCTTTCGTTTGTCTTCATCTGACCTGACATCACTCCTGACATTTGCCCACGGTAAATCAGACGGCCACCATACTGGTCTACATGTCTCCTTCCCCCAGCCAGGTTTCCCCCTCCCTGTGGAGTACTTCAGCATCAGTGGTATGAACCCTCGAAGCTGGGCTTGGGTCATTTTGTCCACAGGGGTGGGTATGCCATCTATGACTAATGGCGGAAGCTCATGTAGGTTGGTATTTTCTGGGGGCGGAGCGGGGGCTTGCTGAGCCAAAGCAGCCTCCAAATCTTGCATAATCACTGTGCGACAGTTTCGCATCTAGAGAACAAAAATACAAAATCAATTTTCATACAACTTTTAATCACACAGAGAATAAAAAGCACACAAACACAGTTACAAATACAGTTAGGCATTTTTAAACACAGATTAGCATATTGCTTGAAAAGAGGATGTTTTGTTTTGCAAATAACTTTTATGGTATTTGTCTTGTGAGAGTCAAACAAAAATTGTCAATATAAAAAAGGATGGAGAATAAAGACATAATTTTAGTTCATTTGGCCTAATAGTGATATATAAAAAATTATTACAATGATGGGTTATAATAATGAAGTCAACTAAAAAGGTTAGTTTAAAAATATCTGTATTTGATTTGAAATTTATTAAGAGGTAGCAACCCTTGGTGGCAGCTATGTCATTCACAATTATTAGGTTCACAGATTAAACAATTAAGTACAGTACTGTTACAATAAAATTTAATCTGCCTTTCTACAGATCTACTTAATTGAAGTTAAGATAATAAATAGTAGAAATAGAGCATATATATTGGAACATTTGTCGAAATGCATTGTGGGAGAACGGAGAGCAATTTAACCTCGTCCCCGCAGCGGCACTATATATCAATAATAAAGGTGATGGTCATGTTCATTTGTTTCCTGTAGTTTCTCCACTGAGTCAAATGTCAAATTTGACCATGCTCACGGGAGGGCAGATGTCCCATCAATTTTAATGCAAATATGCAGATGAACTCATTCTTCTGCTATTTAAGTTCTTTGGTTCTACCAAGTGAGACCCAAGTGAAGGGCGCCTAAAACTAGCGCCGATATTACGGACGCTGTAAGCAGCCTTACTGCTCAGGCACTCAAGTTCTCAATAGGTCGAGGTTAACAAGCAGTATTTTAATACCACTAATATCAGTCAGTATTATTTTTTTTACATTAATTGGTTTAAGTCGAAGGCTAAGGATATCCCTTCACAATAAAAACACTAAGACAAGATGCCCTACATAAACTAAGTCTTGTTATGAGGATTAGGAAGTGGAACCTGATAACATGACAGATATTGAACCCAGGACTCAGGGATTGGAAGGCATGCATCTTAACTACCAACCATGTTATATTCAACTCCACTCTAGTAAAAAACACGCACAAATTTGAATACTTACAACACCTTCCAATGGACATGACCCACTAACTTTGAATGTCTTTTCTCCTTTTCCTGGAATACAGCAAATTACAACTGCCTGCTGTCCAACCCTTGTTGCATATTCATCGATTGTAGCTCTCAACTTCCTGTCAAAGAAAAAAACCCATTAACTGGTAAGATTATGGCAAACAGATCATAAACAATTACACAGGAATGGTTAATGATAAACAATTGAACAGGAAGAATGAAGGAATGGGTAATGATTAGATAAGGGTGATCATTTCATGAACCATTTAATCATGGAGAAAATAAAATAGAATCTATTTTATTTTCTCCATGATTTAATAGTGTAAGAAAAGATTCTCTACAGTACTTTGATACAACAAGTACACAATTTGTACAATACCTTCAGACAACTGCAATATTAAACTTTGCTAAGTTTTAGCAATAATAGAAATTCAAGTTGTTGATATATTCAGATACATGAGCATATAATCTTTAAAATGAGGGGTCATTCATTGAAAATAGACATTACATGCCTAATTTATTGGAAAGTAAATGTAGAGCACTAAACATAAAGATGATTTTGAGTAATTACCTTTCAAAGTTATTTGTGCATACATTGTTCAATAAAAATTAACTATCACAATAATGTTAAATAAACAATTTATTGACCATTTCCAGAACTAATACTTTGGGACACGAATAATAAGACATAAAACTGTTGATCTATAGTGATCAACAAATTTGAATTTTTGGGCAATTTTTTTTAGCTCTAACACTTTATAGCTTTAAATTTAATCAATACTAGCCAGTGCGACAAATTAACCATTTTGCCACTACATGATTCATCGACATATGGAGTCTCTCAGGCTTCGATCTCCAACTAGAAAGTTAGTTTTGTATTAATATGAAGATTGTAGTAAGTTTTGATACTTTAAATAAATTTTCTCAATCAGAGGTGTCTTGAATAAACAATTATTTTATTATTAATAATCCTATGCCTACGCATCCATTGTTCCTATTGTAGACTCAGACACTCCCACAATTGTTTTCCAGAGTGCTATTATTAAAGAGGTCCAATGTGGGCATGAAAGCTAGCATACATTAAATATATTAGTGTTAAGACCAAACTTTTTTCTTTCTTTGATTTGCATACTTTATATTTTTTTACAGATTATCAGGGGAGGGCGGAATGAAAATTTAAAAAAATTGTGTTTTCTTATTTAGCAAATAGATTTGCCAAAATCATCCAGACGGAGGAGAAAATAAAAATAAAATTTTATTAGTAAATGTAAAACAGGATGGTTAAATGCTTCAAATATATATAATTATGAAGAAATATACATCTATTTTTGGAGATTTCAAGGCAGTGGAGGACGTAATAAAAATTTTTTTTTTAATTTATTTTTTTTCTGAAATTTCTATTTTTACGTGACAGCAGGTGCACTAACTGGCCGAAAATAAAATCTTATTTTTATTCGAAATCACAAATATTTGCAGTCGGTGGGTTCACTAAACAAGGTATAAAAAAAGTGTCTTGCCTGAAGTGTTCTTTTTTTTAAATCTTTTAAATACTGTAATAATTTGCTGGTGGCAGCAAACAGTTGGTGGGTAGCCCTCCTGCAGGGCCCCATCAATAATTTGACAAAAACTGTAATACTGATTTTGCAATAGCAGGCCTATGGATCATCAGTTGGTTGTTGTTTATTGTAGTTTGTTTTCATTGCAGGCATGTGGTTGTTGTTTATTGCACGAGTAATGGATCACCAGTTTGGTTGTTGTATATTGAGGTTATCAGAAGATATTAAACTATTGTATGTTATACATACATCACATAAATAAATATATTTATTTATGTGATGTCATCATGACCATATTTAGACATATCTCATGTTTTTGTCAAATATTTTAAATATTTTCTAGAACAAACCTCATCAGCCTGGTCTGTTGCCTGCGTCTAATTGAAGGGTTTGTTTCAAACGAGTGAGGGCGTTTCCGTTTCTTTCCCGTTGCTATGGCAGCTGCTGCAGCTACACCAATAGGACCTGCAAACAAATTAATATCGATTCCAAATGAAAATCAGTGAAATCTGTATCAAGACCTCAGGAAGAAGTAAACACATACAGTAAATGACCAACATAATAATATGAATAAACAATATATTTTTTTTAATAATTTTAAATAAATAATTAATTTTTTTTAAAGAAAAGTACAATCGATTTGTGTACTGCATCAGAGCAAAATCGTTAATGGTAAAACTCCATGGTATGCCACATGCACACGTCAGCCACATATCTCATCACATGCAGCATATAACCTAATAATTATTGCAAAGTAAGTAGGGGAAGCTGGAGACATGTTTACTTGTTCATTCAAAAAACTGAATGCTGTCAAGTCCAATTTACTGAAGACGGCTTAGTTACTGGGCAAAATATCAGACTGCCTAATACCGTAAATGCTCAAATAAGCGCTGCGGTGCTTATAAAATTTGTAGAGGCTTCAGTGCAGCACTTATTCAAGAACAGCGCTTATTCAAGAATTAACGGTATATTGTTTCTGAAGTGGGTTGGCAACTCCATAATTTCAAAGGTCATCCTAGACTTGCTTATAATTATCAAGCAAAATTTTTGGTGAGTTCAATAGACATATTGAATCATAATAATGCAATCTGAGGATGTGACCAGTCAAAAAACAATCATGTTGTTACTTTTTTTCTAATTAGGTGTGAATTTAATGATGAAAGAAATGATAAAAAAAGTAACAAGCAATTGATTTTAATTTGTATTGGATCTTGGAAACACATGGAAAAAAATGTCACTTACCAGCATGAGCCAACTGAGATGTCACTTCATCTGTCATACCAGCCATCAAATCCGACTCATCAAATGGCGTTTCTGGTGATGATGGCTCACTGATCTCATCGTTCATAATCATGGCTCAACTAATTGCTCTTGAATCTAAACAAATAAAAAAAAAAAACAATTAATTATTTGTATGACACACAAATAGATTTAAATAGTCTAGATTATTTGTTACACAAATGTAGTGGCATTCTCAACAATTTGTATGTTTCACAGTGGTCTGAACACCATATTCAATTCGTGATGGGCTTCATCACAAAATTAAGCCCACTGAGCTTCAATTCGAGGCTTTACGTAAAATCTTAGGACAAAGTTACAAGGATCAGTAAATAAACACTAATATGAACAGTCGTATTGCCTTTCCTAACCATTTATTTTTTCATGTTAACAGTGGGTGATTCTTTTCGCAACCATAACATTATAGATATTCATATACAATCGCACTGTTACCATTTTTATGTATACCCAAACTATGTCACGTGACCACCTGTAGTAAACAAACATCGCCGAATCCGTCTATTGCTCACTGATGAAATTGACGCTAAATTATTAAAGTAAATTTTGTTTGTGCAGCAAAAGAGTTTCTAGCGTTTGATACAATTTTAATGCACCCCCATTACACTAAATATTTATGCATCTTTGTGCTGCTTACTTAATAATTGAATTATTTCAAGTACAAAATAATCAGTAATTCTACTAGTGAGTCAAACTAAATCTAAATCAATCATGATCAATCATGAAATGCCTAAAATTTTTACAGCACATGCAGTACAATTTTGCTATTTATTTACAATATATTGTAGGCCTATATAAATATCTTTGAATATGTGTGTGGTGGCTGGCAGATTGCAAATGCAATCTCTCTAGGCCTATGTATGGACTCTGAACAAGAAGAAGCTACAGTAGTACAGGTGCAGGCTTACTGTTTTGCTGTAGGCCCATTTCAACTTGCATTATTGCTGTTCCTTGGAGTTAGAATAGACAGGCTAGCCCTTCTCTTCCCAACACCCCTCTTCCTGTCTAGCTCTAGTAAGTAGTAGGCCTAGCCTATAGCTAGGCCTAGGCCCTACTTTAGAGGCACGCTTTGGTCTTGATTCACATTTCCCACTCCGGATTCGGAAAGGTTGGGCCAAGACTACGACAACCGATTTTAATAGAAATGACTCCATCACTTCGCACTAACTGTGCATGTACGTATAAAGCAAACGTAAATAAACGGATAATGGGCAAAACATACGAAAATAACGATTCATAGCGCAGAATTGCTGTTTTTGTACAGCATGCGACTGCGCAAAAAATGGTCGGATCACGCAGACTCATCAGGCTGCCTGTTGTATAAAGAAGCTTAAACTAGGGATTGTGTCGAGTGCCTCCCGTAGAAAAAATGTATTTATCTGGTTCTTGGGCAGTATTTCTTCATATAAGTTACATTATACTGTACTCTGTATTTTGAGGATCTCAGTTGATGTGTTATTAACCGGTATATGTGTGTATATGGGACTCAGAAGATGTAACAAATATTTTTCTTTGAAAAACTCCGATTCCAAAATGTCGGAAGCAATGCGGCTGCGCGGTGTAAATTTAAGGCATGATGAGATAGGTTGCTTCGCAAAAAATACAAAATTTTATTAGTTTCCATGTATTTTTTGCCTCAATCTACCAACTAAATTAACAACCAAGTATCTAAAATACGTATATTGGTGGAAATATTCAATTCGAAAGAACACAATGTTTGTAAATAAGACTCAGTTATGCAGGACTTCTACAAAAAATTACGAGATCTTCACTGAGTCTGCGCAAAACAAAGAAACATTAATTTCATTCAACAATTTTACGTTATTTTATTGCATTACGAAAATAAAATAGGCAATATTTCAAGTGAATTGTAGAAACATAATAAAGTGAACTTACAACGAAGTATGAAGAAATATAATCAATCTTTCTTCAATGAAATTTGATGCTACAAATCTCCTATCTTTTCGTAAGGGCTGCGCAAAATAATCAAAAACTCAACGGTTCTGAGCAAGCCTCTCGATGGAAAGCGCCGAAATGGGCTTGGCTTGGCTGCAAAAACAGTACGTGTTCCCAATATTAACCTATAGAGGGCGTTCATTTATTTTATTGATTGGCAGAATATGGGAAGCAGTTTTATACTGTATAAAACTATTAGGGCCTATACACAGTATACGGCCTTTTAAAATAGTGATTTTTTTAAATATATATAGCTGCTTCTGATAATTTTAAAATGTGTACATCGAAAATCAAGAACTAATATGTACCTATATTAATGGTAGAGTCCCGAGTAGAATATATCTTTATTTCAAAGGCCTATTAGTATTTTCTCCGGTTGCCGGCCTAAATATTATTTCTGTGTAAAGCGAATATGGGAAATGTGCAATATGCGCTATATAAATATAATAATATTATTTATTATTATTTTTATTGGAATTGAATTAATTCCGTCAGATAGACCTAGAAGGCCTGTGTGTAATAATTTAAGAAAGTGTTCAAATAAACTTACTACCGTAAATTACAGGTGTGTTAATAAAAAAATATTAGAAATTAATGGAATATTTTAACAAACTAAACAATCGAAGTTGCCTAATTGAATTTAAATAATGTCGATGTAGAAGTGGAACCTTCTTTTACATTCAATAAACCATTGTAATTTTGTCACTGGTTAGGACATCCCTGGGAAGGGGGCACGCAGTGTGTGCATATACAGTTATGGTGTTAATCCAGAATATCAGTGTATACATCTGGGCAATTAATTGCCGTATGAAAGTTGTGTTTTTCGTAAATATTTATGAACATCAATCAGTGAAAGCAGGATGTGGAGATGTTATGAATGCATAACGATATTTTGACATCGACTGAAGGACATCCAGGAGCAAATTAGGGGAACCTGCCGGCCCGGGATCCCCTTAAATGTGTCAAGATAAGCTAGAAAAGTATATTAAAATTTTGTGAGTGCCATTTCCGACTATCTAGAGGTGCCATCTTAATCATAAATGTTCTTACCTCAGCCCCAACCAAGGTAAGGCTGAAGTGTAGGCCCCTACTGCTACACTTCATCCCCCCCCCCCCCTCCAACCACCCTCTATTTTAAATTCCCTGGATCCGCAGACTAAATCATTTACTTCGTCGTTAAAAACATTTGATTAAACAACAAGCATTAGGCCTACCACAAAGGAATTGGCGAGCGGGGACTATAAAGGGGCCTCACAGAGCCCCCAAACTACTGTTGATAACCAATGCGTCCTGACGACTATGGCCTGAGTGATGGTCAACAACACTGTTGTTGTTGTTGATTGATTGATTGATTGATTGATTGATTGAAATTTATTATTTGTGTATTCAGTCCTGGTTTTTATAATTGCCCTATGTGAGATGAATCATCATCATTATCAGTGGCGGATTTATAGGAGGGTGGGGCGGGCCGGCTGCGGCCCCTTTTGGGGAGTATAAAGAAAGCTAAAGGAAAGAAAGAAAAAGTAATTGATCGCCCAAAACGCCTTACATACACTTAAGAGAAAGGAGTGCTTAGTGCTTAATTATAAAATTATAATAAATTCTAACTACCAAAGTTCTACTCTCGAGCGAAAGTCTGTATTATTTTAGTGTGCAACAATGCGAATAAATGCCCCAAGGGTAGATTGTATCCATCAATTGTAGAATAACCTAAGATGTGTACAAGAGACAGGCTGTATAAAGAAGCTTAAACTAGGGATTGTGTCGAGTGCCTCCCGTAGAAAAAATGTATTTATCTGGTTCTTGGGCAGTATTTCTTCATATAAGTTACATTATACTGTACTCTGTATTTTGAGGATCTCAGTTGATGTGTTATTAACCGGTATATGTGTGTATATGGGACTCAGAAGATGTAACAAATATTTTTCTTTGAAAAACTCCGATTCCAAAATGTCGGAAGCAATGCGGCTGCGCGGTGTAAATTTAAGGCATGATGAGATAGGTTGCTTCGCAAAAAATACAAAATTTTATTAGTTTCCATGTATTTTTTGCCTCAATCTACCAACTAAATTAACAACCA